TCACTTGGAGAGTTCCCTTGTAAGGATAAGGATAGTTATATGTATTATTTTTTACAATAATTGATTGCTTTCCTTTATCTAATAATAGATGTCGAACTTCATGTATAATTTCTATTTGATTTTTTTAAAGATTTTCGTTAAATTCTTTTAATAACCTAATTATAGTATTATTTCGTTCGATAATTATTTGTAGTACAGTAATATTATTTAAATTGCCGCATTATATCTAATGCTCATATATTAATATTGACAAAACTAAGATACCAAACTCTGGTATCAATTCTAAAACACACGCACGGAGGATATTAAGTAAACAACAAATTAAAATTAATTAAAATTTGGGCCTTATAACAATTTTATATAACCTTTGGACTTCTGTTTTATTTTCATATTGTCTTCAAGACTAAATTGATTCGAATTTAATACTTTTGGGACTCAAACGAAAATGTGTTAAGCTTTAGGGACTATAGGTGTAATTTATCCATATAAAAAAGAGCTTTCAACCTACACCTAAAAACTGGGAATTCAATGTCATGAGTGTCATGGTTTTGGCCACGTGCATGCTGATTGTGGCAATGGGAACACCAAGGGTATGGATTTGAAAGTAACTGGATGATGAGAGTAATAGTTATCAAAATCAGTCTGATGATTCTGAGTCTGATGAGAGCTGTATAAATTACACAGTTCTTATAGCTAATGTGAAAACTTCAAGACTCACAGAGCCTGATGTGTGTGAGGAAGTTGAAGTGGCAGTATGACACTGTTAAGGAAAGTGAGAAGTGAGACTGGTAAGGCAGATTCTGACAGAGAGGCTGAAGATGCCTATAAAGGGTTGTATGATGAATGTCTGGAATTGAACAAAGGAAAAAATAATTATGAATGTCAGTCAAGAAATTAAAAAAAGAAAGGGACACTCTTTGGGCTAACCTAAATGAAAAGATAACAACTATTGAATGTCTTAATAAGTTGGTTGAATTAGATAAGGAGAGGAGTGACTTGAGAGAGAAACTGAGTAATGTTGAGTTTAAGGTTGGAGACTGGAAAAACTTTCGAAAACCAAAGACAATCATGATGGGGAACTAGAAAAGATGTTAAGTGGACAATCTGACAAAGATAAAACTGGTTTAGTGGTAATGATACAAAACAAACCAAATTTGTCGATGACAATCATGATGGGTCAAGTAGCACTTACAATCGTACTCTTGAACACCCCCCGAAAACTAAGTCTAGGAAGGAAGTTCAATTTGTTGTCAAACCCTTCCCCATGTGTCATCATTGTGGAGTTTGTTATATAATAATAAATCTAATTAAATCAAATATAATAAAAAAAATAAAATAAAATCTATAAAATAAATCATCCAATTTTTATCTTTTATTTATTTTAACATAGTTTATTATTCCTTATTTGTTATATTTTTTATTTATAATATATATCAATTAAAAATAAAAATAATTATATAAATAAATTAAAAATATTATCAATAAAAATAATACCTAAGATAAAAATAATAAATATATTTAAAAATAACTATTTAACTCACCTTTATATAATAAATATATTTTAAAAATAACTATTAAAATATATCTATATATATATTATCGTTCCTCGAGGCGCTCCCAACCTAAGAAACTTCTATCGGCTCACGCTTCCCTACTCCCGCTCCTGCTCCTGCTCCTGCTCCCGCTTCGTGCAACTAAGATTTGACCAAATTGTCACAAGTCGAACAAGGATAGATTCTCTAAGTCTCCTTCTAAAGGTCAGTTAAATAGAGGTAGTTCTGGTAAGTCTAGTTTTTTTCACCATTTAGAGTTTGTAACAAATCAATCTAAGAACCTTAGTCATGAGGTAAATAAGTTGCCTTATTATGCTGCTAGAATTGGCAGGATAGATCATATAATAAGTATTAGTTCGTCAATCGGAAACCTACGAATAACAAAAAAGGAAAGAAAACTGGAAAGAACAACAATTGACAAAATAACTCATCTAAACCTAATAAACTAAAAGTCAAAAATGTTTGGGTTAGAAACGTGAGTTACATTGTTATGTGGTACACAATGCACTTCAAGTACACCATTATTCTACGTGGTACTTTGATAGTGGTTGTTTGAGACACCTGACTAGAGATAAGTCATTGCTTGGCTTTTCAAGAAAAATCGTCAAGGAATTATGTCCTTTGGAGATGGCAATCGTGCTCAAATCCCAAGAAAGGGAATCGTTAACGTTCTTGGTCTACCGAAATGGAAGAATGTCCTCTATGTTGAGGGTTTGAACACTAATCTCCTGAGTATTAGTCAAATTTGTGACAATGATCACCATGGGGAATTTAATAATAATGATTGCTCTATTCTTGATGATTTTAGTGCATGCATAATGAAAAATGCTAGGACTTCTAACAACCGTTAATTTGCATTATTTCTGATAAATCTCTTACTTGTAAGAGGGTAAAGTTAGACGCAGTAGAGTTGTGGCACCAGAGGTCGGAGCAAATTAATTTTGGTGATTCGTTGAAAATTGCAATGAGTTTGTGAAGAGTATAGCTGGAATGGGGAATGGTAAAGGTCAAGCCATTGAACCTTGTCAAATTAGGTAGCAAATCAAGTTCAAACACAGAAAGACTCATGAAATCACACTACTACTAAACCTCTAACTTGTTACACATTGATTTCATGGAACCTTCTACGATAGAGTCTAAATGGAAAGAAGTATATCTTAGTGGTGGTTGATGATTGCTCTAGGTACACCTGGGTTGGATACCTTAAAGTAGGGAGTGGACAAACCTTGGGCCAGGCCAGGCCAGGCCAGGCCAAGTCGGGCTTACACTATATAGTAAGAGAATATGTGTCATCTCAAACCCGGCCTGGCCCAACATTGGGCCTAATCTAACCATTCCAAGCTTGGCCGCAAAAAAACCTTCAAAATCCCAAACCCGCCCCAATAGATATGGACTGCTAATTTTTTAGATATGGATAACAAATTATTTAGATCCTTTTAATTATTATTTGAATTTAAAACATTAACAAATCCAATAGTAAAATAAATATGGTCTCCTAACATATGTTTTAATTTAAGCCCTAAAAAAAGTATATATATACCTTTTTTGCCTTTTATAACTTTTTGCTTTATTTTATACCTAAAATAACAACAAATATTCTACAAATAGGCAGGCCAGGATGGGCTGCCCTAGAACTCCTTATCCCAAGCCCAAACCGAATATTAAATGGGCACAAAATCTCAGTCTATCCTGATTCTATAAACTAAATATTTTTTTCAAACTCTAAAAATAGCAGCCTAGGTTGGGTGGGCCATCATGGCCACCCCTACCTTCAAGAAAAGTTTAATGTGTATGGTCATTTCAAGACCATCAGTCAAGAATCCAAACAGAAAAAGGGTTCTCAATCTCTAGGGTGAGAAGTGACCATGACAAAGAGTTTAAAATTCTAATGTTGCCAAATATTGTGATAATAGAGGGATCAAGCATGAGTTTTCCGCCTCACACACCCCACAACAAAATGAGGTTGTTCAAAGGATGAATTGAACTTTTCAAGAGATGGCTCGAGTGATGCTACACTCCAAGAGAGTTGTAAAACATTTTAAGGGTCAAGGTCATGAATACTACCTACTACACTGTGAATAGACTTTACCCTAGACTAGGCACCTCTCAAACTCCTCATGAGTTGTAGAATGACAGAAAACCAAACAAACTATCAAGTAGTTCTGAATCTTTTATAGTAAATGCTATATAAAGGATGGTGAGTAAATTTGACTTTAGTAGTGATGAGCAAATCTTTCTAGGGGAATTACAGTGACTATAGAGCTTTCAATCTTCACACATCCACTATTGTGGAGTTTGTCAACATTATGGTGGATGAGTCTTGTCTAGACTTACCCATACCCTGGCTATAAGGCTTGTTGCTCAAGGTTATACCCAAATTGAGGATATGGACCTTTGCTCCTCCCATGGCTCAACTTGAGTTTATTCAACTGCTCTTTGCCATTGTTTGTCATCTAATATTCAAGTTTGTACCAAATGGATGTCAATAGTGCCTTTCTCAATGTCCTTCTACAAGAAGTCTAAATGGAGTAACCAAATATTTCAAATATCCACAAAGTCCTAACCATGTCTAAACGCTTAGGAACACTCTGTATAGCCCAAAACCATGACCGGTTAACCAATTACCTCTTGAACTCCGGCTTCATTCAAGGGGGAGTTCATAGGACTTCATTGATTCACAAGGATGAGCAAGATATAGGCATAGCTCAAATATATGTGGGATACATTTTTATTGATTGGCACCGGGGTGTCCAGATCAAAATTCGACTAATCCTTAAGAGTGCATAAGCTCTCGGCAAGGAGTTTTCCGCAAGTGTACCATGGAGAAGAAACGAAAGAGGAGAGAGCAATGAGAGAACCTGGTTGCCAACTTCAAAAGAGCAAGACATCGATCCCTCTGTCGCCGACTTCGATCCCTCTGGTCACATCCTTCAACTTTGTCATCGTGGACTTTGACTTCGTCTAGCGCCCTTTGATTTCGACTTCGACTGCAACTTCGTCTTCGACGAGCACGACTGTAAGCCCCTCTCTCTCTCTCTTGCTCTTCCATTCCACTGACATTGATCTGCCTTTTGATTTGCCCCTCTTTTATTCTTTATTTATTATATTTCATTCCTCTATTTTATCCTTTTTATAAAAATATTTATAAAAAAAATTGGGCTAAACCAGATAAATAAAATAAAATTTTGGGCCTACTAAAATTCTGGCCTAATAAAATTTTGGCCAACAAATCTTTTAATATCACAGGCTGTTATGTAGCTAATTTATATATTTGGCCCATAAATTATATATAAAAAAATTATTCGGTCAACTTTTCAACTCATTTTTATATAAAATATATATTTAAAAAAAAATATAAGACGTACTCTCGTATTCGTATCCAAATCCAAATCCGGATCTACGTATCATTCATTTTTAGTTTTGAAGTGTCTGACCCTTAGATATGCACCTGCACCTGCACCCGATACTCGCACCCGAGTCCGTGTAACATAACTTGTGGAATGTTGTGAAAGCTAAATAGCATATTGCACACATCCACTAGATAAAAACTTTATTTGTGTTAGAAGGCTACACGTTCCTATAGAAGTTGATCAGCATGTGCTTGTTTAACAACTCGGGTTTGTGCTTCAATGCCTTAGGTCCAAATGATGGGCTTGACTTGTGTATTCCTTGTCCCTTGGACATTTCATAGCACCTTGAGATATTTCTGCATTCTAGATTTGCCTGACACTGTGCTCACTTACACATTTTGCGAGTGATAACACAAAACTTGATTGTTACATTGGATAAACACTTGTTCTTGTCTATGCTCTTAGTCTTATGTTTCTAGTTGAATCTCATTCAAGCATGTTGATCATCTTAGTTTATAAACGAAGATATACATAAAATAAGCTATACAGTTTTCTCATTCTTTTCAAGATTCTGTGTATCCTAGGGGGAGGATTTTTGTGCACAAGTTAATTTCCTAAGAAGAATTTGGAAAGAGGAAAACGATTACCTTGAAATCGCAGCGATCTATTGTTGTTCCTACCATGCCGATCAACCACTGCCATTTGCAACCTATTGCCATCTATGCATTTTTGATTGAACCCTCTTCTCATCTCCTGTCCGATCACTCCATGTTAGCCTGTGATCTTTATCGTTCATCACTTCACCCTTTTACTTCGGTTCAACGATTGATACCTACAATATGGCAATTGTAATTGCTCCAGTTTCTTTAAAGACACTTGCTAATGGCTCATTTCTATGATCGATCCCCCTATCCTTTGCAACCTGAAAGACTAGCACGTTAGCTTATTATCTTCATCTAGAAAGCCTTTTTTCTTTCTTCTTTTTGGATTACTTCAGCTTGTTTGGTGTCTCTGCCGAAAGCCAGACATAATTTAATTTGGATTTTTGAATTTCTACCCAAGCCCGCACCAAGTTCAAAAATATGTTGCACATACCGTAAAAAATTTTAGGCTGGGATTGGGATGAGCCCGCCCAAGTTGCACCCCTACTTCTCAGTCTTTTTTCCCCGCTAGTAAGTCCTTAGTCTTTCTATAAAAATGTTTAGTTTCTACTTGTGTTTGTTGTTCTCATGGTTGGTGGGCATCTACATCCAAGACCAAGGTATGCAGGCATCCCCATAATCTTTCCATGCACTGAGTAAAATTGCACCATCCCACTGATTTGATATTTTCCTTAAAAAATAAGTGTATAAAAAGATATAAAATTATGTATTGAAAATGTAATTTTTTTTTTTTGTGGTCATTATGTGATTCTTAAACAATACATGGGCAACCAATATACATTCTACTGATCAAATTAATTTTGATATGAAGAATTTACCAAAAAATATGTCAAACATGTGTATCAGATTTTAACCTAAAAAAAATACATTTCTAATGCAAAGTTGTTTAAAGGTAAATACACACACAAAGTCTATTAACCTAGGCCTTAGATGTCAGCCTACTATTAACCTGGGCCTTAGAAGAACACACTAGGCTTGCACTTTGTGAAATTACACAGAGAACAAAGTCTATAAATTTCATAATTGTTAGTATTGACAAGTAGAATGAGACTCTTATCTTTATTCTCATCCAATTAATCAATGCTTCAAAGTTCTAACCATCTATTAGAGACCAATAAAATAACAAATCGATCGTGCAGGATTCCCAAGAAATTCTTTTTTCTCTTTCAAAAGCAGATGATTAATCAAGAACATGAATATTGAAATAAATAATAATACAAAACAAAACAATGAATAGACATATGCAAGTGAGATACAAATTGTGACACACATGCTAAATGAGAACATTATTTAACGTGGAAGTAGTAAAATGTGAGCTCAATATTGCTGATCAACTGACCAAAGGTCTCTATTTAGAAGCATAGAACCAGATCTATAGAGGGAGGTGGGCTTAAGTCCAACAAGAAGTTAACTGGGGAGGTAACCAAACTTTGACTAGAAAAACAACTCTTTACCGTTTTCAAATCAATATAGTCTCAGATCTATGTAAATTCTTCACCATTTTCAATTTTGTAACACACTAATATAGTTTAAATTTCTATAAGTCATATTTTGAATTTCTGATAATTTTTGTTAGTGAAAATTAAACGCTGATGTTATATGCCAGCGTTATATATATACCATCTCACACACCATCCAATTTCAGATATCAGATCTACACAAGAGCTTTCTACTCTATGTAACTATTTTCAACTTCACTATCATATAACAAGCTCTAATTCCATTCTCACCCGAGTCACCGTCCAATACATTATATTTCAAATTTCTTGGCCAATCTAGGTTCAAGACAAGTTCATATCCTCATGGTGAGGCTAGACTGCTGGATGAGAAAGGCTGTGAGCAACAGGGTTGCATTTTAGAGTCACAGCGGTCTGTCACCACCTTCATGTAGGGAGGATTTGTGGCTTTAGAACAGTGATCACGCACCTCCCATTCTTATACTCAAATTTCTATGTTAATTTCTACTACTCTACTGAGCATATATGTTGTTTACCATTTCCCTCTAATTTATTGCATTGTTCCATATTATTATGTTTTGATTGTTGTTATCAACTTAGTATATTGTATTTGTTCCATAATCTTTTACTCAACTCAACATTTGTTCCTTAATCTATTTATTTTATAAACAGATAGATAATTTTACATTTTACTTTTCTGTACATGCATTTTATAAGTTTGTTATACAGATTTAATAGCCCAAGCTGCCCACTAAAATGTGGAAGAAATTTGGGGGAAAATCTAACAAGTTTCAGTAAACTTAATTTTTTCAGATCTTTTTCCATTTCCAATAGTTCGCCATCATCATTAAGCTTCGAAAGACCATCATCGCATTTTTTTGCTTTTCTATCCAAGCTAAACGAAAATGGCCAGCTCTTCTTGAGAATTTGACTCCTCGTATCCATTGTATTGTAGACTTTACTCCACTTCCAGATTCCATATGATTCCACAGTTTCATAGCCAAGAGTCTGTCAAAATAAATCAAATAAAATAGGAAAATTTGGCTATAAACCCCCTTTACCTTCCTTTTATTGTTAAAAGGACTAAGAAAAAAATTATACTTTTTAAACCCCCTCATAGTTATAAAGTCTTGCATAAAGGACAAAATTTATAATTTAAATATTTTATTAGACTATTATACCTTCAACTAAATTTTCCCACCTTTTCCACCCACTTTTTCCCCACCTTCTCTGTCTCTCTCCTCCCTCCCATAATCTTTCCATGCACTGAGTAAAATTGCACCATCCCATTGATTTGATATTTTCCCTAAAAAATTAAGTGTATAAAAAGATATAAAATTATGTAAAGTCCGGTCAGTTATCAGGCGAAACTCCAGCAATCAACAATGCCGAAATTGATCTCTATGATGAACTCATCAAGAACATCAGGAATGAAATCAACTACGGGCCGGAAATTTGTCCTCCGGTGCCGGAATCGAAGGAGATCGTCTACGAGGAGAAACAGATCGTCTCTAAATTGAGGCATGTTTGGTGGAGTTGTTTGGTTATACGTATTTTTTTAAACACATATTTGAGTTTTGAATATATGTGTATATATATATATATATTTGTGTATGTGTTGTTGAACACATGTATTCTTTTCATTGAGATTTGTGATTGTTGAACGAGTTTTAGAAGTTTTTCTTCTCAATTAGATATGTTGATTTGTTGATTAATTTGTTTTGTTTTTGTTTGTTTGTTTGTTTTTTATATATTTTTGTTGTTTTGTATCTAATTTCATTTGACAGAACCAGAGTAAAATTTTACTTTTATACAGAGTAAAATTTTACTTTTATACAGAGTAAAATTTTACTTTTAGTTTCAGAGTGTAACATTTTACTCTTATTCAGAGTAAAATTTTACTTTCATACAGAGCAAAATTTTACTTTTAGTTTCAGAATGTAAAATTTTACTTTCATAGAGAGTAAAATTTTACTTTCATACTGAGTAAAATTTTACTTTTAGTTTCAGAATGTAAAATTTTACTTTCATACAGAATAAAATTTTACTCTGAAATATATAGTGAAGATGACTTAATAGGAGAGCTGATAGATATGAGGGTAATATAGTAAAAGAAACAAGTTTTAAAATATTAGGGGGTTTTGAAAGTACTTATATAATTCTTGTCCTTTTGAAAGACAAATTAGATAGTGAGGGGGCTATCACCAAATCCCCCAATAAAATACATAATAATGACAAAAATAATCCATGATCAAAAACCAAAAACAAAAACCTTCTTAATTAATTCCATTGTCACGATCTGCCTCAATATGCAAATGATGAACAGAAACAACTTCGCATACTTAGACCGCATCTAAACATATGCCAACAAAACAAAAACTCTCAAAACTTAAATCATATTTACCTTCCAAATAAATAATCAAATAATTTTCTCAACAAACAAACCAAGTGAAATTACTATGGATTTATGGAAATTATTAGATAAGTATTTTACAGAGGACAATTAGGTGCCGCAACAATCGCCGAAGTCGGAGTGGAATCCCCGTTGACGATGCGAGAAAGGGACAAACCAACGCCGACAACCGTCGCAGTGAATTCGATAGGTTGACGAGGTCTCGTAGATGGGAGTTGAGAGTGTGTATTCAAAATGAGGGCTAGGGTTGTCTGATCGGAAAGTAAGGGCTGGGTAGGCAACCTTTTTCGCTATTTTAACTTGATTAAAAATTTGAGACACTTGCCAGCCAATCCTATTGGTCAGACTTATTTATTTATAAGTCCTTCATCTTTTTTCAATTATTAATATCTCAAAAATATCCTCACCTTATCTCATTCAACACTCAACCACAACATTATTGCTATCATTAACCGTTGAGCAATTCCCTCCGATCACCAACGACAACCTCCGACCTGCAGCGATGGTTTTCAGCGACCACCTCCGCCCACTATCTTTAATTATTGGCAACCACCTCCAATCTCCAATGACTTCCGGCTACATTTTTCCTGCCATTTTCTAACAAAAGTATGTTTATCTCCACCACTACCTACTCAAATTTGGTAGCAATAACACACACAGAGATGAGGAAAATAGAGAGAGATGAGAAGAAAAAATAAAAATTTTACCCAAAAAAATGTTCATAATCAGTTTTCACCACCATAGATACAAGATCAAGAAAATAATTAAAGACACATTCAGTGATAATTTTCACTAAACATTTCAGCGATAAATTTATCAGTACGCGATTTGTAAAAAAATTACATATGTCAAATCTGACCAATTCACTCAGTCACACTCATTACTCACAAGACACCTCCTTTTATACATATACATAACAAAATAGACTGATAAATTTGTCACTGATAAAAAAATATGCAGTAGATCTACTTTGAAAAATAAAGAGAGACAAATGGAAGAGATAAGGAACAAGATCTTAAAAGAGTCTTGATCTCACTAGCAACCATGTACAGTACCAGATTGGAGCTGAAGATAGTAGATTTGCATTGAAAATACCTAGATTTGAAGCCATTAACAAAGTTTGTCATCCAAGACAACAGATTGGTAATGGAGGATTGTGGCAACGGCGGTGATGTCGATGGCAAGCAACGAGGGAGGATGATAGTGGTCTAGGGTGAGCGATGATGGCAGCGAGGGAGGAGGACAAGTTGAGGTGAGCACCATTGATGACAACAGAAGGGGACGTTGGTTGAGGCGAGCAATGGTTGCTGACGGTGGATAGTGGCGGTAGGTATAGTGACAGTGGTGGTGGTGTAGAGAGATGATAGATGAGAGAGAGAAAAAAAAAATTCTTTGCAAAATATTATAGAAAGTAGAGAAGATATGCAATGAGGGTAATATGGACAGTTGATGAGTTATCAATGTATTTAAAAAGTTAATTTAGTTTGTTTAGTTCTGGGTTTTAGAATATAATTTTTAAAATATTTTATTTTTTTTATTTTTCATATTTTAATGTTTCTAATGGATTTTTTTTAATATTTTAGGTAATTTTTTAAATTTTTAGATACACTTAACATAAATACACTTAAAAAATATAATATTTGTGAAAAAAATCTTTAAAAAATATACTAAATACTAAAAAATATAAAAAAAGAATATGAAAATTCAATATATTTTTCGTATTTTTGTATATTTATTAATAATTTAAAATATTTTTTCACAAATATTTTACTATTTAGATACATCTAACAAATGTGCATTTAAAAAAGTAAAAAAATTGCTTAAAATTTAAAAAATATTCACTAAAAATAAAAAAACACGAAAAATAAAAAAACTTAATTTTCAGAAAACTAAAACCAAACACACTGAGCAGGACTTACGAGTAATTAATTTCATTTAACAGGACTGGCTGGTAGATATTCCTCAAAAGTTTTATATTTAAAATGGTAATGTGTTTTTTTTGTCAAATTATATCGATAGTCTTTATGTTTTACGCTTTATATTATTTTGATTATTACATTTTTAATTGACTTAATTTTTATTTTTAATTTTAAATTTTGTGTTAATTTAATCTAATTGATAATATCATTATGTTTTTTTTAAAAAAATAAATATATCAGTAAATTTGTTGAGGGAAAATGATTTGGACCGCTAATTTTGAACAGTTAAACCAACTACAAGTAACATGTCATAAGTCACATTGATAGGGGTGTAAATCTGGCCCGACCCGGCCCGGCCTAACCCATGGCAGGCCTCGCGAGCTCCCACCAAAATTCGGGTCAGGCCGGTCCGATCCATGGACCAAAAAATTGGGCTCAAGCTCAGGCTGAGGCCTAGGGGTATTCGGGCCGGTAAGCCTAAGCTTGACTATTTTTTTTGTTTTTTTAAATTTTTTCAACAAAAATTTTATTATTTTCCACTAAAAAAGACTGGATCTCAGGCGGGCCGGGGCTTGAGTGGCTTCAAAATGATGGCCCAGGCCTAGGCCCAGGGCTCAAGCCCCAGCCCAAACAAGCCTAAACGAGTCGGGCCCACCTCGGACCGCGGGCAAGCTAAGGGCCATTTTTATACTCCTACTTAGAAATTCCACTAAAACATAAAAACTATCTAATAAGTGTTTGCTATGTCATTAAGAATTGATTTTGGGAGTCTAAAATTGGTGGGGTGTAGCATAACTCTTTGTTAAGGTTAATTTACAGCGTTGCATTAGGTAAATTTATAATTTTGCTCTTAAAAATACGGCATGTGATACTTATATTTTCATAATAAAAAAAAAGGTAAAAATCATCACTAATTGGACTAAATTGAGACAATATCATAAATTCAATGTCAAAATCGAGCCAATTGAAATTATAGGGACTAAAATGACACGAGAACCAAAACATAGAGACTACTATCATAATTTGTCATTTTTTTAAACTTAATTTGATAGTTGTGAAAGAAAGAGTGAAATGTAATTCTACTTACACCATCTTTTTATCACCTTACACTCATAAATGTTTATTTTATTTTATTACGATCTTACCTTTATTTAAAATTACCAAACAATCCCTCAAATCCTCACCCTAATTACTACCTAACCCAACCTTTTCACCAACTTCTCCACGGGCAACCACCACTATCACTACTACTGGTTACCCACACTTCCATTTTTGGTGACTCTGCCACCTCCAACTCACTCTCTCCCACCGGTAGGGATGGCAATGGGGGTTAATGGGGTGGACATTAATTCCCCATCCCCATTCCCCATGGGTAGTGGTGGAGATAAACATATTTTTGTTAGAAAATGGCAGGAAAAATGTAGCCGGAAGTCATTGGAGATTGGAGGTGGTTGCCAATAATTAAAGATAGTGGGCGGAGGTGGTCGCCGAAAACCATCGCTGGAGGTCGGAGGTTGTCGTTGGTGATCGAAGGGAATTGCTCAATGGTCAATGATAACAACAATGTTGTGGTTGAGTGTTGAATGAGATAAGGTGAGGATATTTTTGAGATATTAATAATTGAAAAAAGATGAAGGACTTATAAATAAATAAGTCTGACCAATAGGATCGGCTGG